TTCTCCAGACCTTTTATCATTTTAGTCGCTCTCCTCTGGACACATTCCAGCTTGTCAATATCTCTCTTGAGAGGGAGGGAGAGCAGTGGGTGGGGAGCTGGCCCCTCTGCCCTCCTCTCCAGCGCCCATGGGTTCATGTCTCTAAGGCTGGAGTTTGGACCTTACAGAGCTGGAAGGCACACCAAGGAGAATCTAGACCCACCCCCTGCCAGAACAAGGTTTCCACAGCTAAAGGACACTCAAAAGATGCTCATCCGGCCTCCAATCAAAGGCCTCCAAAGATGGAGAGTCCACCACCTTCTAAGGCAGTCTGTTCCATGGCCAAATGCCTCTTAGAGTAAAGAGGTTCTTCCTAATGTTTAGAGGAAAGGGTTTGTCAGTCCTCAATGAGTCATTAGCCTAGATCGAATCAGAGTGAGGGATTCCTTCCCCAGATTCCCCACGCATGCCTATCTCAAAAGGGCTTTGTCTCACTCTTCTTCCTTGCCACTATCTCCTTCCCCTTTGAATACTTAGCAATGTGGTATCTGTGAGGGATGAGGTAACTTCCTCTTTGAAGGTTATTTGATTGCTTGTCTCAACTGCCCTGGGTTTTGGCCATGTGGTCATTCTCCATTTTGGACTCTCTCTTCCTTTGTCTTCTTTGAGTGAGGACGCATCTTGCCTTTCTCCAGGCAAGGTGTAGCTACATGGATATTTCCTGATTTTGATCCTCTCCTACTTTTCTTAGAACTGAAGTAACTGGCTTGACCTTGAAGGAGCTGGGGGTGGTGACGGCCGACAGGGAGCTCTGGCGTGGGCTGGTCCATGAGGTCACAAAGAATCGGAAATGACTGAACGAATGAACAACTACTGGGAATCAAGAGCTGTTAGGCTGGTTCATCAGGTGCTCTGCTATGGCTGACTTCTCTGGTTGAAATAGTCTGCAGTGCCTTTCATGTTCACGTTCAGCAAAGGACAAGAGGGATCCTCTCACTTCTGCAGGAGTCTACTGTGTACCATTCAGCTGTGGACAAGTCTACAGAGGGACCACCAAACGCAGAAATGGCCAAACACGAATCAAGGAACATGAAAGGCACTGCAGACTACTTCAACCAGAGAAGTCAACCATAGCAGAGCACCTCATGAACCAGCCTGGACACAGCATATTATTTGAGAACACAAGAAATGCTGGACCACTCTCACAACCACCATGTCAGACTACACAGAGAAGCCACTGAAATCCACAAGCATGTGGACAATTTCAACAGAAAGGAGGAGACCATAAAAATGAACAAAATCTGGCTACCAGTATTAAAAAACTCTAAAATTACAACAGCACAACAGCAGAGAGGAAACAATCAGGCACATCTTAACACCTCTAAACAAAAGATTCCCCCATGCTCAGCCAGGCCTTCAAATGCTAATGAAGGTGGTCAGTTGAAACATTCACACCCAGCTCCAGCAGAGAAGAGCTCTTTGCCCCACCCCAGTCATTCCCAGTCATTCCACAGATATATAAACCCATATTCCTAATTCCAACAGACCCACAAGAATCTAATGTTAAAATAATATTTAAAAACATATCAATCATAAATTAAGAAGCCCTGGGCTAGACGACTATTGGAGGCAACTTATAACTCCATGGGAAAGGACACAGGACTTTGGCACCTGCAGAGGCCCATTGAAAGCATGGAGGAGCCCCAATGCTGCCAGCTCCACAGGACCAAGACATGCTGTGACTCTATGGGGCACAAGAGGAGGGGAGCTGTGTCCCAAATTGTGGAGAGACTGAGCACATGGGGAGCCTGTCCTCCTCCTCCAATTCTGGGCACCATAATTGAAGAGAGATGTTGACAAGCTGGAATGTGTCCAGAGGAGAGCGACTAAAATAATCAAGGGTCTGGAGAACAAGCCCTACGAGGAGCGGCTGAAGGAGCTGGCCCAATTTACCTGTCCGAATGGATTCTCCCCTATGAACCATCAAGGTTGTTAAGATCTTCAGGAGGGGGCCTGCTCTCGGTCTCACCTCCCTCACAATCGCGGTTGGTGGGAACGAGGAACAGGGCCTTCTCGGTGGTGGCCCCTCGGCTTTGGAACTCCCTCCCGATGGAGATTAGATCTGCCTCTTCCCTCTTGATTTTTAGAAAGCTGGTAAAATCATGGCTTTGGGATACTGCATTTGCAGAATGATGATCGACTCAATAACTGCTGACCTTTCTGGTGGATGGCGGTGAATTTGTGATTCACTCTGATGAACTGACTTTTTTTGTAACTTTTTTGTAATTTGTATGAATTGTATGAATTGTATTTTAATGTATTGTATATTGATGATGTATACTGTTTTGTTTTATTGTATTGAACTCTATGTTGTTAGCCGGCCTGTGTCCCTCCTCAGGTTGAGAAGACCGGGTTCTTAAAACTCTAAATAAATATTGTCGAAGGCTTTCATGGCCAGAATCACTGGGTTGTTGTAGGTTTTTCCGGGCTACATGGCCATGTTCTGGAGGCAATTTTTCTCCTGACGTTTCGCCTGCATCTATGGCAAGCATCCTCAGAGGTAGTGAGGTCTGTTGGAAGTAGGAAAAATGGGTTTATATATCTGTGGAATGGCCATACAGCCCGAAACAACCTACAACAATCCACTTTATTTATATATTGCCCAAGAGGACTCAGGTTGGTTTCCAACTGCCAACACTAAACATACAGAATAAACAACATAAACATAAAATTATCAAAACAATGTTTAAAAGTAATCCCGCCTATTCTTTGTGCATATTTGTGGATTTGGTTTTTAACTGGCGTGTTTAATCTATTGTTTTAATGAATTGTTTTAATGTTTTAATGTATTTGTTGATTGTTTATGATGGTGATCGCATCGTATGGTACTTGTTGTGAGGCCGCCCCGAGTCTCCCCTCGGGGGTGAGAAGGGTGAGATATAAATATATGACATAATAAATAAATAAGTATTGTATTGTCGAAGGCTTTCATGGCCGGAATCACTGGGTTGTTGTAGGTTTTTCCGGGCTGTATGGCCATGGTCTAGAGGCATTCTCTCCTGACGTTTCGCCTGCATCTATGGCAAGCATCCTCAGAGGTAATGAGGTCTGTTGGGACTAGGAAAAATGGGTTTATATATCTGTGGAATGACCAGGGTGGGACAAAGGACTCTTGTCTGCTGGGGCTACTAGCTGTGAATGTTTCAGCTGATCACCTTGATTTGCATTCAATGGCTTGGAAGTGCCTGGGGGGAATCTTTTGTTGAGAGTGATGTTATGTGCCTGTTTGTTTCCCCTCTGTTGTTTTGCTGTTGTAATTTTGGACACAGCATATTATTTGAGAACACAGAAGTTCTGGACCACTCTCACAACCACCTTGTCAGACTACACAGAGAAGCCATTGAAATCCACAAGAAGCATGTGGACAATTTCAACAGAAAGGAAAAAACCATGAAAATGAACAAAATCTGGCTACCAGTATTAAAAAACTTTGTCTCACCCTGGTCATTCCACAGATATATAAACCCATTTTCCCCACTTCCAGCAGACCTCACTACCTCTGAGGATGCTTGCCATAGATGCAGGCGAAATGTCAGGAGAAAAATTGCCTCCAGAACATGGCCATATAGCCCGGGAAAACCTACAACAACCAATGTGTCTTAGACTTGTGTAAATAGGGAACGTCCTGAGAGGAGATATGATAGCCATGTATAAATATGTGAGAGAGAGCCACAGGGAGGAGGGAGCAAGCTTGTTTTCTGCTTCCCTGGAGACTAGGACGCGGAACAATGGCTTCAAACTACAAGAGAGGAGATTCCATCTGAACATGAGGAAGAACTTCCTGACTGTGAGAGCCGTTCAGCAGTGGAACTCTCTGCCCCGGAGTGTGGTGGAGGCTCCTTCTTTGGAGGCTTTTAAACAGAGGCTGGATGGCCATCTGTCAGGTGTGCTTTGAATGCAATATTCCTGCTTCTTGGCAGGGGGTTGGACTGGATGGCCCATGAGGTCTCTTCCAACTCTATGATTCTATGATTCCATCTGAACATAGGAAGAACTTCCTGACTGTGAGAGCCGTTCAGCAGTGGAACTCTCTGCCCCGGAGTGTGGTGGAGGCTCCTTCTTTGGAAGCCTTTAAACAGAGGCTGGATGGCCATCTGTCAGGGGTGCTTTGAATGCAATGTTCCTGCTTCTTGGCAGAATGGGGTTGGACTGGATGGCCCATGAGGTCTCTTCCAACTCTACGATTCTAGATTCCATCTGAACATGAGGAAGAACTTCCTGACTGTGAGAGCCGTTCAGCAGTGGAACTCTCTGCCCCGGAGTGTGGTGGAGGCTCCTTCTTTGGAAGCTTTTAAACAGAGGCTGGATGGCCATCTGTCAGGGGTGCTTTGAATGCAATATTCCTGCTTCTTGGCAGAATGGGGTTGGACTGGATGATGGCCCAGGAGGTCTCTTCCAACTCTAGGATTCTAGGATTCCATCTGAACATGAGGAAGAACTTCCTGACTGTGAGAGCCGTTCAGCAGTGGAACTCTCTGCCCGGAGTGTGGTGGAGGCTCCTTCTTTGGAAGCTTTCAAACAGAGGCTGGATGGCCATCTGTCGGGTGATTTGAATGCAATATTCCTGCTTCTTGGCAGAATGGGGTTGGACTGGATGGCCCAGGAGGTCTCTTCCAACTCTAGGATTCGAGGATTCTATCTACATGAGGAAGAACTTCCTGACTGTGAGAGCTGTTCAGCAGTGGAACTCTCTGCCCGGAGTGTGGTGGAGGCTCCTTCTTTGGAAGCTTTAACAGAGGCTG